TGATGGTTCATTTTCTAGTGGTTTTGCTGTTGAATGTTCCATATTTACTGAGGTCTTTGACGCAATAGTGTTTGGATTTTTTTGTGCCTGTCCGTTGTGTTTATACCTTAGGGTATACCTATCGACATTTTCATACGTTGGCAGCGGGTTGAGGTGAGGGTTATGCCAATTTTTGATGACTATTACTACGTTGCCCGTTAAAATATCTTCACCATGAACCTTCACCTTTTGGCAGCTAAATGATTCAAAAGCACCTCTTCCCAAGGTCTAAGCAAGGTGTTTCCCAAGGTGTTTCCCAAGGTCTTCCAAAGGTCTAAGCAAGGTGTTTACCTAAAGTTGTTAAAGCTTCTGGTCCACCGTTTAATAGAATTTTGATTGGTATGTTTTGTACAAGTACATGGACATTGCAAATAAATTTTTGGGGTGATCGATAGTGACGCTTTTTTAATAATAATCTCGATCTCGAGGAAATCTGGCACTTTCAAATTCAAAGTATCTGTTGCAGGGGCGGACTGGCCATGTGGAAGATGTGGACTATTCCACATGGGCCGTTGTTAAGTACTTTGTTTTTACGTATATGTATTTTAATAAATTTTTTCTGTTCGATATTTATTCATTAATGTATATATTTATAAATTAAGCATAACTTTGTAATTTACGTCTGTTATCTTTGCTGCTTTTCCTCATTTTTCGTTGGCCTACAGGGCCGTTAAAAATATTTTTCCACATCATAATAATTTGGCCAGTCCGCCCCTGATCTGTTGTTGTAGTGTCTTTTAATTCCCCAGATATAGCCTGATGGTAGTGTCTATAATTTAAGTTAAGCCTGATACATTATTATTATTTTTTTTTTTATTGTAGTTAAGCCTGATACATTATTTAAAAAAAAGCTTTTATAAATACAATCTTGCTTATATGAGTGTTAATGGTTTTAAAATGAATTTTCTGAATTGTGGTTTATTTCTGTTAAAATCATTTTACGACAATATTTTCAAACATTGCGCTTTTAAAAAAATACAACTAAGCAACACAAATACAACATAAGTGCATTATTAGACATTCTTTAGAAATTCAAATAAGAAAAAACGGCTAATATAAAACACTCTTTTCTTGCTTTTTTACCCGCAAATTGTTTTATTATATTATCATATGACAGAGTCTTAGCTAACTCATTTACCACTGAAAGCATCATGAGATCCGAAAGGCGTTCTTGTCTCATAATGACACTGCAATAATTCTTTATAGTTTACAATCTAAGTTTACTGAAAGATCGCTCACCCTCTGCAACAAATACTAACATTGTATTAAAAATTTGAATTAAAATGCAGACCTATGGAAAAATAGGCTGCAGACTCTTTGAATTTATTTCGTTGAGAAGGCTCAATGAGTTTCCAGGAATAAAAAACGAAGACTCCTTCAAACGATTAAGATACAAAATTTCTTGTAATTTCTTGTGTCTTCTTTGATATCATTAGCGTAGAACTGTGCTAATTCACGAGCTTTTATCTCTTGAGAATCTGGTACTTAGTCTTTTAACCAGATGAATGAAAATCTCGAGGAAACAATATTTACTGTGTCAAATCTTGACTGAACTTGATAAATAAAATGATTAAGAGCAACGTTGAAGATGTTTACCTTAAATTGATGCTCGGGACTCTCATAGCAGAAAGCTGCATTTGCAAGTTCATCGTGATACCGTTTCACTCTCTTCTTTCGTATTGTCTAAAATTCCGTTTCAAAGCCTAGAGGACCTGCAACAGCTTTCACTTCAGTCAAAATATTATTCCATGATGAGCGAATACGGCAATAGTTTTCTGATGTTTCTGATGTTTTCATCGTTTATAAAAGTTTTCTGATGTTCTAAATTGTAATCAAACTGTATGAAACATTTCAATTTCTTATCACAGGATGTTATATTATTTTTTAGAATAAGAAGTGAAATAATTTAAGCATAACTTATGGTTAAGTAGTGCATAACTTAATCTTTAGTTATTATTAAATTATTTCATATATCACATATATGACAACATATATGGCATATGTCATATATCATATATGTCATATATCATATATGAATTATGTCATAAGTTATGGTACATATGTCATAAGTTATGATAAGTTATGTCATATATGATATATGACATAACTTATCATAACTTATGACATAAGTCATCATAACTTATGACATAAGTCATCATAACTTATGACATATTATGATTCTTTAATATAGAATGTTATGAATCTAAAAAATATAGATGATATATGTATAATAATATGTCATCTATAATATAGATGTCTATAAAATAGATATCTATAATAATAGATATCTATGATATAAAAAAAGATATCTATAATAATATATCATCTATAATAATCTATAATCTATAATAATATATCATCTATAATATAGATGATATATCTATAATATAGAATGTTATGATTCTATAATATAGATGTTATGATTTTCCCTCATATATTTTATATTCATATATTTATATTCATATTCATATTTACATTATATTGGTAATGTTGCAGAATAATGGCATAAAATATGGCTTCTGCGCTATCGTCCGTTGTTACTAATTTAGGGATAAGCGAGGGCTCCAAGGAAGAATAATGATATAAATTGATCCCTGCCCCAACCCTGACCCTTTGATGTGTTATCAACTCCCTTGCGAGTTCTCCCTAAATCAGTCAATGTATGTACTGAAGCCCTCGTCTATCCCCAAATCAGTAACTACGGACAAGAGCTCAAAAGTTGAAATATAGATTTATTTTACGCCACTATTCTGTAAGATTACCCATTATATTATATTCACATTCATATCATTCATATTATATATTTTATATTTATAGGTTATTTCCTTCATATAGACCATAATTAGTTGTATATGTTATGTCATAAGCTTAATGAATTTGAAAAACTTTGATGAATCATAACTTATGATTCATAACATGCCTAATAATTGATCCTAAATATATAAAGCAAAAACCTAATGTTTATAACATTCAAACATTATATGATGATATCATTTAGTCATATAAATTATACGAATATAATCACATTTTCTATAAATTATAACGTATATAAAAAAAGTAAAAGAAAAAAGTTATGCTTTAAGTAATATTATTAGTTATATAACAGGCCTTGCGATAAAGCGTCGGGCGATGTGAAATTTAGCGATTTTGCGTGTAGCTAGGGCTATTTACGTCGAGCAAAAAAAATTTTGTTTGAGTATATTTAAAGATATTTTTGAGCGGAATTTTAATGAAGTAATTTACGATTATTTTAACATTTAATAAAGTATTTTAAAAACCGCACGCAGTTGATATAAAAGTTTGAATTACAAAAAAATTAAATATGCTCATTATTTACAAGTAAAAAAAGTTCAGATTGAAAAAAAAGTTAAAATCTTTTTAAGCTAAAATTTTAATAAAATTATTCAGCAATAGCAAAGTTGTCGATAAAATTGAACAAAAATATTTTCTTTTAGTTTTACATTTTTAACTTAAATAATTATTTTACGGGGGTTTGTTATGTTTTAAAATTATTCCATAGATTTAAAAATATTGATTAACTGTTTGATGTGTTTAAAGTATTTAAGAGTAATTTCGAGGAACATTTCAAAAATTGGTAAGCGCAAATAAAAATATTTTATTTGCGCAAAGATTTTTATTCTAACATTTTATTTTATTTTACAAGAAATAAAATTCCTTGTAAACATTAAAAATCTATTCAAAACGTTCGTTTAAGTTTTTTAGTAATACGAGTAATGCTTATTAACCGCTTTATGAAAATAAATAAAAATAAAAAAATATATATATAAAATCGCTGGTAAAAATATTAGCTATTGCACAGTTTTTAATCGTACAATATTAAAATTTCCAGTTTATTACTCGCTGACTTTTTAAAAAGAAAAAATAATTATTTGAAAAACTTTAAATTACATATTTGAGAAGAAAAAAAAATCAAATATCAGCATTTATAATCTTTTTTAAATGTTTAGTTATAATGTTTTATATTCGTTTAGTATAGACAAAACGTGACCAACGTCGAAAAAATAAACAAATGTTTTTACATTTTAAAAAACGAAACATTCCAAAACATTTTTAAATAATAACATTTCGACATAAACGATTTAAAGTAGTTTTGCGGTAATTAAGTAAATTAATGCAGTTAATGTAAATTAATGTCGCTAAATATGAAAAGTAAATAAAAAGAATTTAATGACGTCAAAAATCACGTCGTGCTTATGCGTCGCGCAGTTTTTATTCATCACAAGGCCTGATATAATATAGGTAATAATATTACTTATATTATAAAAACTATATAATTGATATAACAAGTAACCTAACTCTTTTTTTTTTAAATTTAACTTATAGTAAGTGGTTGTTGTTGTAAGTTTTACATCCATTGTTTCCACACTTGTGTGGTTTGGGTGGTTTTCTTAATGACATAAATGCCATTATGAGTGAGTTGGATAAATGGATGTAAAACTTACTACAACAACTTATTATAAGTAAAATTTAAAAAAAAAGAGTTAGGTTACTTATAATATCAGTTATAGTATTTATAATATAAGGAATATTATTACCTATAATAATATTACTTAAAGTATAACTTTTTACTTTTACTTTTTTTATATACGTTATAATTTATAGAAAATGTTGCAACACAATTTGTAAAACAAATTGTAATGTTGTAAATTGAAATGATGCCCTTTCTGACGTTAACATGAAGCAGGTTGTACTGGATTATATGTTATCAGTAGCAGGATAACCTGACTTGACGTAAAGATAACCTGACCTGACTGAAATATTGTATACCATATAATATACTATTATAACTTAATTTTTTAACAAAAATTAAGTTATAATAGTATATTATATAAAAAAATTATTTAAACTGTTTATTTTGTGAATTATTTGTAAATAATAGCAAGTAATAATCAAAATTATTGGTGTTTTAATTATCTCAGTCTGTTTGAATATATTTATTTATTAAATACATTTTTTAAATTTTTCAAAATAAAGTATAAATATAGAACACATAATCATATAATGGATAGTTTGATTCCTTATTCATATAATTATCACACTAAGCGTAGAAAAATAAACACTGCCCTATCTAAACTGTTATCACAAGTTCAACATGAGTTTGAAAATCAAAATGACTCAAGCTCAAATGATCACCAATATAGCTGCATTTTATCAGACAGTATTGGTAACACACATGCAACTATTACAAGTGCAAATTTTACAAGTCATCAATAATTTTATGCATGAATTTGTAACATTTAATAAAAGCATCGATCATCTATCCGACGTAAAAGCTCAGTTCCATATAAATGCAATAAGCACAGTAAATAGTTGTTATTCAGACAAAAATGAATGTTGTGCTCGTATGTCAGGTACAACTGATGACGATAACAATGATAGTGATATAACTTTTTTTTCTGAAAGTAATGACACTAATTTATCTAGTTTCAATGAAAATTTAGCAAATTGGGCAATTTCTTTTAATATTTCTCTAAGTGCAACTACACATTTACTGCAGATTTTGAAACCACTTGTTCCAAGTGTACCAAAAGATGCCAGGACTTGCAGTTTTAAAAAAATTTCAGATAATGTTTTTCCAATTGCCATATTTTGCAGTAGCAGTAAGCCTAATCCATTAACTGCTTATTTGAAAGATTTTATTGCAGAATTGAAATGTCTAGAAAAGTCCCCATTTGAAGACAATAATGGTCATAAATATATCATCAAACTAGATGCTGTAATTTGTGATGTCCCTGCAAGAGCATTTTTAAGCGATGATTCATGTGAGCGATATATTCAAAAAGGTGAATGGTATGGAAAAATTCTTCAACCTGATCTATCAGCTCCACTTAGAACTGATGAAAGTTTTCGCATGCAAGCAGATAAGAAGCATCACATTGAAAACATGATCTCTCCGTTTTTAGAATTATCATTTGGAATGGTTTCATCTTTTCCACTCGATTATATGCATTTGGTATGCTTAGGAGTAGATAGAAGAATGATTAATCAATGGGTGCATGGGAGTAAAAAGAAACAATGTTTATCCAAAACATTGTTAACTACACTATCTGAAAAACTTGTTTTATTTAAGCAGCATGTACCAAAAGAATTTTCACGCAAACCTCGTTCAATATGGGAATTTAAACGCTGGAAAGCTACTGAATTACGCCAGTTTTTATTATATACTGGTCCGGTAGTTTTGAAAGGTATATTGCCAAACGATGTTTATATAAACTTTTCGGATTTATCTGTTGCTGTATATATTCTTTTGAGTCCATCGCTTTGTGCAAATCATCGTGATTATGTTAAAAAGTTGCTAACATATTTTGTTGCTACATTTTGTAAATTATATGGGAAAGATCAGTGCGTTTATAATATTCACTCTTTAAATCATTTGCCAGATGATGCTAATCATTACGGTGCTCTGGATAAAGTCTCTTCTTTTCCATATGAAAGTTATCTTGGAAGATTGAAAAAACTTGTGCGGCGACCTCAGTTCTTGTGCTTTCAAATTGTGAGAAGTATTTTTGAAGGACATTTGAATCCAACTAATCCAATTTGTAATGAAAATAAAAGTGTTTTTAAAAAGCTTCACACTGAAGGTCCAGTTCCCATATCGTATTGTCACTGTTTGCAGTTTAAGAAATATAATAGTGCTAAGTTTTTTGCTTCAATTAATGATTGTTTTAAAGTAAATGGGAAAGTAGCGAGTGCAATGAAGCTTATATTGTTTTTCAAAAGTATGAAATTTTACAACCATTTTTTACAGATCCAATGAACTCTGACTTACTTTCAATTTTTTTTGCAGAGAAGTTATCCTGTTTTTAACTCAGTTTTTCCTATTGCAGATTTAGATTGTAAATATTTACAGTTACCATTTAAAAATGGATTTGTAATTATTATTCCTCAAATGCATCTTTACTGATTTTATGGTAACTGTTTGTTTTTATAATTATATATATATTTTTTGCATGGCTCTTATACATGGTATAATAAATAGTTGTTTTGTGAAGTACATTATTTTTCAAGTTATCAGTATTTAAATTCGAATTGTGTCATTTCTCATTTTAACTGACGAACCAAGTCTATCAAAGTCAATCCAACTCATAAACAAACATTATTACTAAAAAAAAAAGTTATTTTAGATTCACTTTAGGAAGCTCGTCAGAAAGCAATATTGGCTGAAGACACTTCAAATCTCGAAGTTGAAAATAATATAAAGCGAAGAAGGTGAGTTCCGTAAACAAATTTTAGTGTAGTTTACAGAAAGTGTATTAAATGTTTTTGAAGCACATAGCAGCTATAAATTAGTAAACAAAGAAGGGAGCTTCCCGATTATCCTACAAATGGTGAACATGTTTATAGTCTAAGTTCAGCGGTTGAAATAATTTTTAAAAGCTTGCTGATCAAATGTAATTTTTTCACAAAAACAGAATATTTTACCTTGATTTTTTTGAAATTTTCCTAAAAATAGCTGATTGAGCGCTGAAGTTAGTTCTTTTGTAACTCATAATTGTCTGTTCACCTTGCGAGCTAACAGACTGCTTTTTTTCAGTAATTTATGTCCTTTGAGACAACTTATCAATTTGTAATAACATTTGCTATATCTTTATGCCAATGTGTGTTTACATTTGATGCTGTGTATACTTTGCTTGTCTACTCAAATTGTTTATTAATTAGTTTAAATAATTTTTTCAGAATAAATATTATACAAGCTGATGAAAGTGACAAAAGTAAAGTTGAATCTGATAGCAGCGAAGAGTTCATTGAAAAGTAATCTTTTGTATAAGTAATGTTACTGTTAATAATAGTTAAATATATATATATATATATATATATATATATATATATATATATATATATATATATATATATATATATATATATTATATATATATATATATATATATATATATATATATATATATATATATATATATATATATATATATATGTATATATCTTATACGACTGAGTTAGGTGAGCGTGATGATGTCATACTCACCTAACGTCAAATAGCCTGCTGCCGGGGGCTTCAGTACATACATCGACTGACAAATAGCCTGACTCGCAGTGGAGTGCTGCTACATCGACTGAGGGTTTGGTATGGGTCAGCAACCTTTTCATTCATTATTCTTTGTTTTCCCTCATCGTTTTCTAAAAACGCTCACTTAATTTAGGCTAGCAAAAAAAGTGAGCAATTGCGCATATAAATATACTATAGTAGATATATATATATATATATATATATATATATATATATATATACATATATATATGTATATATATATATGTATATATATATATATATATATATATATATATATATATATATATATATATATATATATGTATATATATATATGTATATATATATATATATATATATATATATATATATATATATATATATATATATATATATATATATATATATATATATTGTTTATTAGGAAAAAGAAAGTTATTGATGTGTGCAAAAAAATGAAACATGTGTGTTTGTTAGTTACATGCAAGATATGGCACTCTTCATGGTATGTGCTTAATAATTGTATTGTTATATAATATTAATATTATATTTTAACATTGTGTTTATATTATTATTTTAATATTATTATTGTCTAGTGTTAGTTAGTTACATGCAAGATATGGCACTAATAATATTATTATTATATTATAATATTATTACTATACTTTAACATTATATTAATATTATATTATAATATTATTATTAATATTGCCTAGTGTTTGTTAGTTACATTCAAGATATGGCACTCTTCATGGTATGTGCTTAATAATATTATTGTTATATAATATTAATACTGTGTTTTAACATTACATTTATATTATATTATAATAAAAGGTTATATTAATCAGGGAATTTCTTTTTCCGGATATTTCCGGAATTCCGGATATTTTTCTCAAAATATAGTTTTTCCGGATATCCAAAATGTTTTCTCATACATTCAAGTTTATATAATATTTGTTTTAATGTATATACATTTTTCGTTATCAGTAATCAGCCATAAAAAAAAATGTCAAAAATGTCTATAAAAATTCTGAAGCCTACCAGCTGAGAGCAAAATTAGGAGAATAGTAAGGGAAAATATGTTCCGGATTTTTCCGGATATTTTACATAAACTATATTTTCCGGATTTTTGAAAAAATAACCCGGATGATCACTGATTATTACTATAATATTATTTGCTAGTTATATGCAAGATAAGATACTCTTCTTGGTATGCCCTTATCAATATTGTTTATACATTTATTATAGATTATAAATTAAACATTTATAATCTATATTTCTTTGAAAGTATACATGCTGTAAATTATCCCAGCCAACATTGACAGACGTATGGTTTTTGTCTGGGCTTACGGGAACGGGATTTTGACGGGTAAGTGTTTTGGTTTCCAGACGGGTCCCATATGGTAATAAAATCAAGCATATTTGCTCGTTAGGGTTTTATCTGGATTTTATCAGGGCCAAATAACCTGGGGATTTGATGGGTTTCCCATAAGGTTCCCAAAAGGTATAAAAAAAATCATAACAAAACTTACTCGATGGTTGCCATTTTTAATTCGTATTGTGCGTGAAATAAGATTAAAAATTTAACTTTTATGCATTACATTTTTTGAATACATTATATTTACATTGTAATTAAAAAGAAATTTTTTTTTTATGTGTTTTGTCACTGTAAAACTCATTTCATTGTAATGTAAATAACGTGTAAATTTCATTTATTTAATTTTTATATATGCATATATATACATATATACTATTTTTTAAATGAATTTACAAAGTTCAACATATTTGTTGAACATATGTTCCAGAAACTATTAAACATGTAGTAAATGTTCCATTGAGACACTGTTTGCATTTTTAAAATGATCAAAATATAAAGTTTTGTTTCTGCTAGTCACTAGCAGAAACAAAACTTTATATTTTGATCATTTTAAAAATGCAAACAGTGCAAACTAGCAGCTAGTGATATAATTAGATAATAAATGGTTTGAGTTTAATCAAAATATTAGTTTAGTCAGAAACATTTAGAAAGAGCAAACAGGCGAATAGAATGTAATGGATAGGTTATATTTAGGGAATTAAAAGCTTTTAAATCGTTTTTACAGATCCACTCTTTTCCATTGATTTTTCTATATTTTATGCAAGCAAAATGACTGATGTTAACGAAGTTTACCCACCGTCAGATATAAATAAAGATATAATTAGATGTTTAAATGCAAAAATATGGCTTTATTATTATGCATCAACCTCATTTTTTAATCATTGATATTTTTTGACTTTGATTTAAAATTGTACATTTGCAATATAAACAATAATTTCATAATATACATAATAATAACTTATACTTACAATACCTATACTTGTAAATACTCGTAATATAATACTTATGTTTATAATACTGATAAAAGTTTTTATTGATATGAACTTTTTCATTCCAACTTTACTTATAAAGCTTTAATTTAACTTAATAACTTTTACATAAATAACAATAACTAAAAAAAGATGTTAGTTATTATATAGATTATAACCATATGCTTATTTATTATAATTGAGTTACAGTAAGTTAAACAATATAAAATGTTAAGTTCCAGGCAATAGGTCTTATATGATATGTATCTTATGTATATCTTGTATTTTGCAGCATGTTAAAGAATATTTCTGCATGGTGCACTCTGATTGTTGACAATATTTGCATATTGATATGAATAAAAGTGACTTCAACAACCAGAATGTGTTTTTGATAAATATTAATAATAACAGGTTAGTAAATATAATTATAGTAATAATGGCAATAACTTTTTATTATTAGAATTAGTGAGAGACTTATGTATAATAGAGCTACATTAACTTTGGGGGACAAATATAATAACTTGAGTAAATATTACCGTTGTTTATAACCTTGATTAGAGTAATGTAAGTAAATATTATTTTTATCTAAAGAATATTCGGCAAAAGTCAGTATTTCCTAAGTATTAAATATTATAAAAAAACATGTGTTAAAAAAAATTTTTTTTAATGTATCATAAAATAAAAAAATAAGTATTTGAGTAAAAAAAAAAACACATTTATTATTATAATGTATATACATCACATTAACTATGTTGTCTATAAAGTAGGGGTTGCAGCTGATATTTCAGCTTCAGCTATACACTCATTAGCTTCAGATTAATGCTGAAGCTGATCAAGTCAGTTTAATCATCTTGATAGCTGATAGTAAAAGAGAATAATACTCCATAAATATTTTATATAAAATATATTTTTAAATAGGTATTTATTCAATGAAAATCTAAAATAGTGACAAAATTTAAACATACATGTAAAATTTAAATAAAATTTGCCAAAAGTTGTTGCTATTTATAAATGTTGCTATCAGAGCCTAGGCCTAGGACTTACAATATTAGGGGACCCAAATTATGTTTTTAGAAATTTGTTTAAAAAGACGGCATATAATGTTTTTACAGAAAGTTGCAACTTCTCACTGCTCCAATAATCATTCCTTAGTGAAAATACCTTTTCAACAGCAGCATTAGTGCCTGGACAACATAAAGAAATTTCTGTTAAAACTTTTAAATTTTCATGTGGGATATGTTCTACTCTAAAATGCCGAAAGATTTCTACCCATCTTTTTTCAAGTTTTATTTTCTCATTGTTCCATTTCTTAAATTTTTCTTCATTTAAAAATAAATTTACTCTTCCAATTTATTTAAAAAGAAAATTGACATTAATAACAATATCTTTTACTTCCTTTATTACAAATTCGACTGCTGAAGAAACTTTTTTCCATTAAATTTTACTATTTATAAGGGTCCATATAAAACAATTCAATGCTCTTAAGTTCATTATCCATTCTTCGATATATTCATAGCAAATTTTATAAAAATTTTTAACTTCTATTAAAGTTTTTTTTTTTTTTCCGGGATTGAAATCTTTCAAAGCGGTCAGTTTTAATATTGTATATAGTAGTGTATGTATATATTTTTATTTAAATTTGCCTTTAATTTGTTTTTTTATATTTTTCTGCAAAAAAATTTTTCTGTCACTTTATCCTTCTGAACTTATGTGATTAAATTTTTGTTTTCTCTTACGTATTTTCTCACTCATCTTATCTCATCCGTTCATTTTCTCTTTTTTTTTTTCATTTTTCTTAGCGTTACTCTTTTATATTTTTGTGTTAATTCCAACTTTTTAAATAGTATTGTTCCTTATACTTCTTTTTTTATTACTTGTATTAATGTAGTTTTCTTTCTTATTATTTTTTATTTTATTTGTTTATTTTATGAAGGTGTTGTTCCATTGACTTGTTTTTAATATGAGTGACACCGAACATAAATTTGTAAATTATAATTAATTTTTTAATTTTTGATTTTATGGTTAATTAACCATAAGTGCATGCGTAGTATGTACAGTAAAGTTTTTGTTATCCTTATATTTAATTAATGGATAAAAAACTTTGCTGTACATACTACGCATGCGTCAAGACTGTCAAGCATGGCATACATACTGCACATCAAAGATCAGCCTGGGGATTACATATGCAAATGTTGGATCCATCTCTTTTCACAAATGTAATTTTGACATTGTTGGAAAAAGAGGTCTGTAGTATCTATCTCTCCAGGTTCATAGTACGGCCTCTCAATTGTGTTGAAAATGGCAGCCATATGTGTGTTCAAAATTTAAATCACTGTCAAACTTGTATCTGGTGTTTGCCCTGTCCTCTGACGTGCTGGAAACAGCAAGCAGTATGTGCG